ATAAATGTTCTGAGACTCACTGATGGCATTTCTAATCAGTTCAGTGAGTAATGACAGCAAATTTCTATGAAGCAATTTGCTTGCAGTGAAGAAGATAAAGAGATGCTTGCTATTCGGTCTGAGACACTGAACCTGCATGAAAGAAACAGGGGAAGAACAGGAGTCCCTTCCCTTGCCATTTCAGATTTCTATTTCATAAGGGGAAAAGTGTATCCTTGAAGAGTACTTGTAAAGGAGAAGAAGCAGAGGTGTGCATATACAAGTGACCAGCTTTCATTACCTGCAGATCTCCATTGTCTCGCTCAAATTCTTTTTACTGGTTTCAGTCTCCAACATAAAAGGTAGACAAAACATCAGAAAAAATCTTCCTTTCACTAGGCTGGACTTTTGTAGGGACCTATCTCCTCCTGCAGAAACCTCACTTTTAGACAATCTAAATAAAATATCTCACCATTTTCTATCTGAGCGTAATAATTGTATCAGGTCGGAGTAGGCCTAATATCTTTGGTTTTGAAAAGCAGGAAAGGTTTTGAAAAACCTTTCAGAGCAGTAGCAGAAAAATAAAGGAGTGTCTAGTCATTTGTTTACAAACCAGGGCAGAAAGGTACAGAAATAATCTCTCTCTGTGCTATTAACTTCCTTCTAAAAGGATTAACCTGACTTTTGCTGAAGTCAATTGAAAGATTTCATTTATATTAGTTGGAGTAATCTCCAACTAGAGGAAAAAAAATCAAGATAAATCAAGCAATGAAACTATATTTTCCACTAAAACACTGTCCCATTTCTCAAAAATATGTACAACTGGTGGACACTTTGTATGTCCAAGTCCCAGAAATGCCAGCTATAAATAAAAGCATCAACTCAGATATTGTAAAGACATTATTATCTACATGAATGATAAATAATCTTCCTAATTTAGTGATACAATATGTAAGAAAATTAGAAATAATATCTAAGTAGCATTTTGATAGGATGTTGTGAAGTTACATATGCGAACTGAAAGGTTAAGCAACATAAAGGAATAGGAAGAAGGAAAGAGTGACAATGGTCATATGTATATATTATGTCACGTACAATTAATATTTATATGCTATAAAATGAGAAAATAAAGAGATAAGGGATAAGCACCAGATGACACAGACCATCCAGTAATGGTAATTTCTCCAGTAGTTGATCAGTCTCCAAACACCAGTATAACCACACAAATGCAAATCTCAAGTGCAAGTAACAAACAGCCCCCCGTTACTTGCACTTTGGGAACTCTTTTCTGTTTGCCAAACAGGCAAGGTTTACAAGAACAAACAGTAGCTTTCCCTGTTTCTAAGTGCAATTAAGTCAATGACCAGTTATCAGTTACTCAAATCATGGTAGAAATGGCTACAGTTCTTGTTAGCAAATGTATATCGCTTTTTGCTTCTTGCAAGGGTGACCACCTTCTTGTTGCTACTTCCTGCTTCCATTCATTCAAAGAGGAAGGGGTTTGGTCTTCCAGCGACATTAGATAATAGTTTTTTTTAGCCTAGAGGCCTGCAAGTATTACTTTGTACTAAATCCAAGTAACCTCGAATATACTTTATATGAATACCAGCTTGGTATAAGAAAGCAAGAAACTACCTTAATTTGATTACTTTAAATGGATTGGAATTTTGCGTAGGTGGAAGATGATCATCAGAGAAAGGAGTGTTACACAGACTAATACATAAATAGCTTGTTCTGTAAGCAGAACAAAGCTCTGTTTCTTCTCTCAGAGCACAGATACAATTAGTTAGAGGATACTGCATTCTTCAGAAATTTTTGGCATCCAATAGAAAAAAACAATTGCATTTCAAAACAAAATATTGTATTTGAAAATCATTTCCACTTTTAATTACCTGCCAAGACATTCAGTCTTTTCCCTGGAAATGAACACATCCCTTGTACTTGAGCACAATGCTTTCCCACACTGCTGGCTGGCTGCGAGGTTGCTGACTCCTGCTGCTGCAACACAGAACCCTGAACTTGGTGCTTGGCAGGAAAGTAACTGCTTTCCACACACATTGTGTTAAAAATACACACGTTTCTGTAAGGTTTCCATCTACTGTTATGTGAACTTCGCTGATTTAACTCCTATACTTCTACTGTCACAAAATAACTGTGTCCTTCTGTTCAATAAATGCAGAATTAAAGCCATTGGATTCATCTTCAAAGCAGGAAACCTTGGTCCCCTGACAGCACTGTATTCCTACTGCTGGATTTATATTCTAATGGCTGATGCAGATTTCATCAGATTGTCCAGTGGTAATAATTCATTCTGTGTAACCTGGGCATGCTCCTTTCTTGCTGGCTTAGAGAGCAGACTTATTGCACTCACCAGCCAATCCATCTTAAAACTAGTTTAAAATATTAATAATCATGGTTAGCTAGATGGAAATATGATTGATTGCTACATATTCCACTAAATAATAAAACAAGTCAATAGCTATAGTTATAAAACCAGGCTCGTGGGATAAACTAATCAACATCAGTGCTTACATTTCAAACTTATGTCTGTCACTCTATCTTACTTTTGTACTGTCTTTGCCCAGATGTGAAAATCTTTCTCTGAGGACACCAGTAGGGGTAGATACAAAGGCCAAATGGATATCAAGTGTTACACTGTTGCAGACTCTTCCCTCTTAACAATTCATTATTCTCCCCAGTACAAGTAGAAAACCTTAAAATACTCTCATTGCACTGCAATCAATGTTGACCCCTTATTTCTTGGGTGACTCATCCTAACTGCCCATTTTTTAGTTCCTTCTTTTGTTTGTCATAATTACTTTTCCTGTCATAACAGAAGTATCAATGGCAGACATGAATATGTATAAAGTAGAGCAAGCATATTTTACTGATATTTGTAATACTTGAAAACAAAAACATAGCTGCATAAGTTTTCAACTTACAGTCTCTCTGTACCTCATTTATGGAACACAATTTACTTGAATGTGATGCAATAAATGCACTCACTGCTGCTCTGTCTCAAGAACTTGTTTTACAAATCACGTATATAATAACAAACTTGCACACAAACATTATAATGATACTACTTACCCAAAATAGCCTTCAAATTGAATAAGATAAAACAAAACACACATCATCTTGTTAGCATTCAAAGATCAGGAGAACTGGCAGGTCTAGCAAGAGCTGGTAGGTCCTGAGCTTTAAAGGAGATCCGTAAGGGATAGCTTTGCATTACCAGGAAGTTCAAAGCTTGAATATCTGCTTTCTCTGTGTTATTAAAAATCCCACAAGTTTTGCAAAGGTAAGGTAGCTATCCTACATCTTGAAAACATTCAGAAAAACCTCAGTAATCATGTTCTGACTCTAGAAACAGCAAGTTTGTTTCTGAGTCATATTTACTGCTTTTTATTCTAAACTGATTTCACCAAAAGTCTACATCAGCATGAGCAAAGTGAATTTCTGTGCATGTAAGAAGCTTGCACTCCTTTTTAACGCATGAACAAGTGACTTCTGTTTACTGGGAAGCATATTCATCTGTGCTCTGGTTTGCTTGTGCTGCTGGAAGAGTGCAACCGAGCTGTAAGCAGGGGAATTTTCAGCTGGCATTGCTCCTGCGAAGGCAGCTCCCACTTGGCCCTATGGTGGGAGCGGTTAGAATAAGCTGCACATGGAGTTCCTCAAGATCAGAAGCCTGCTGTTGCTGCTGCAAATAAAAATACATTCTGGTCTCCATGTAGACACAGCATAGCACAGACCTGCCTGCAGAATGATGGAGCTTTGGCCTCCCTCAGCACGTACAGAAGTGTGGTGAAGCAAAGACTCAAAAGACATGTAAGTTAGTTCCTCTTCAGGAGCCCATGATGTGGCCTGGCATATTCAGTCAGTAACTGCATGATGACAGGAGACCCGTTTTGGGAAAAGGCCCTGTGGTCATGACACTGAACTTTAGCTGAGAAAGTAAGAAAGTAAGCAGGCAGGCAGCAAGAATTGGCAGGTGTCCAAAAGGAAAAACAAAACAAAACAATTTGACAAATTCTGCCCTAAGTGTACCTATGACCTGGTACTTGAAGTTCAAACCCATGTCACTAGAATCACTTAAGATTTGGCCTTCCTGTTCTATTTTGTTTTGTGGTGGAAATACGAAAACAACAGATAGTGCAGAGCAACTGGCACACAAGGCTAGTTTGTAGCTTTTAGGTCTTGGTCAGTAACACACAAAGACTAAGAAATTTAGAGGTGGAAAGGGCTGAGAGGTGAGAGAAAGCAAACTGGATCACTTTGAGGGGAAAAAAGATTCTAAGCAAAGGGAGGAAGCACAGCTGGCACTGGCAGACCAATGGCAAGGAAAACAAGAGGGATGGTATGGGGACCGTGAATGCAGGAGACAAAGGAAAGAAAATACCACAACAATAAAGAAAGGATGAGTTAGAAATCGATCTAAAAAGCCACATGGCTTCCCTGAACTTCAGTCACTGACTTGTCAACGGGGGAGGAGGGAGCGGGGAGGGGGGAATGCCTGCTACCTCAGAGAGATGAGCTACATCACCCCGGAAAACCCAGGAGGAAACGCTGCCACGAGCCGGAAAACATGAATCGAGCAACCGTCCCTCCCCACCCCGCTCGGGGAGACCCCTCAGGCGGGCAGGGCCTCGGGGCGGCCTCCCGGGCCCGGGGAGATCGGCTCCCTCCCGCGGGGGGTGGAGGCTGCGCAGGGCCTCTGAGGAGGGAGCGGCGGCTCGGCTCGGCTCGGCTCGGCTCGGCTCGGCTCGGCCGGGCCCCGCCGCGGCAGGCAGGGCGTCCCAGGGAGGGGCTGCGGCGGGAGCGCCCCCTCCTCCTCGCCGCCGTGGCCCGGGGCATTCCCCGCGGCGCGGGCCCCGCCCTCACCCCCCCAGCCCCCGCCGGTCCGGGCCGCTCCCCGCGCAGCCACCGGCCCAGCCGGCGCCGGGGCCGCGGCGGCCGCTAGGTGTCGCCGGCGCCCGGGCCTCCCCCGCGGCCCCTCCTGCGCCCCGGCTGCCGGCGGGGCTGGCTCGGTGCGGCGGGCGGAGGCGGCAGTACGCAGCGGAGCGGCGCGGCGCAGCCCGGCCCGGCTCGGCTCGGCTCGCCCCTTTCCCCGAGCACCCTCGGCGGCCCCGGCCCGGCTGCAGGCGAGGCCCTGCAGGCCGCTCTCGGCACCGCCGGGCGACTCCCGAGCACGGCCTGCGGTCGCTCTTCGGCGGCGGCGGGGAGCCGCGGCCAGGCGAAGGCTGCGGCGGGGGGAGCAGCCATGTTGGAGCGGGGAATAAAGTGACTTTCCTCCGGGAGGGAGCGCGGCCGGCGGAGGCGGCGACACTCGGGGCAGCGAGGAAAGGGGAGTGTGTGGGGGGTGCTCGGCTCCCGGCGGCCGGATACCGCTCCTGGGCGGAGGAGGAGGGGAAGGAGAGGGGAGAGGAACCGCCCCCGGACCCACAGAGCTCCGGCGCTGCTGGTGAGTTGTGGCTGCTCATTGTCTCCCGGCCGCGGGGTGCGGGTCCGGGGCCCGCGGGGGGCCCTTGGCCTGCGTGTGCGTGGGACGTCGCGGGGGCGGAGGGGGGGGGGGGGCGCGGTGAGGGGAAAACGCGGCCCCGGAGAGATGGGGAAGGCGATGGGAGTTGGGGTGCGGGGAGGGGGAAGGGCCGAGGGTTGTTCGGGGAGCCCTGGCGGGGCGGGAGCCGGGGGCAGCGGAGCCGGGGCGGGCTGTGGGGGATTTCCGCCGCCCGGGGGCGGTGGGAGCGACTCCGCGGGGTCCGGGGCAGCGCCGGGGGGGGGGGTTGAGGGGGGTGTGTGTGTTGAGCTGCCTCTGCGGGGGGAGCTGAGGGAAGCCGGGCCCCGGGGTTGAGCCGGGGCTTGCAGCCGGTGAGCACCGCGGGGTTTTTTGGCGATCGTGTGTTGGTAACCGTCCTTTCCCCACCGCCTCCTCCCCTTCAAACGCGGCTGCTTTCTCCTGACAGCTCTTCTCCTCGCAGCCTCCGCACGTATGACACATTCGCTCCTATTGCAGGTTCCCCCCCCCCCCCCCCGCACACCCAAAATATGTAGGTTTTTGCGCGTGGCATAAGAGTTTTTGTGCACTGAGCTTCGAGTTCGTAGGTGACAGGATACATGATCGTTTGCTGACCCTGAACTTTGTGAACTCTTTTCCCTCCCCTTCGTCTCTCAGATATGTAATGGCTTGAGTCCAGTAAGAGCAAAATGGTTCTTCCCAAGCGAGGACGGGGCAAATGAGGTGGCATTAGGTGTATTTTATATTTCATGGAAATTTACTACGCCCACCAGTTCCAATACCGTGTTCATAGGAGTGGATTAGCTGCTGCGTTAGAAGAATGCTGACCTTGATCCCCTTTGTCTCGCCTACAACAATTTCAGTAGCTGGCTGGAGTTGTTTTAAACTCATTTCTGTCTTTGGCACTTTGGTAATGGTGGTTAACAGTATTGTGAATGTTGTGAGGGAAGCAGGGCTGAGCTATATTATAGTCCAAACTAAAGAATTTAAAAAGCATGTTTCATTTTTTTTTTTTAAATTTTGGTGAATAATTTACATGTGCTTTTTTTCATTTTGTAATTTAATGCAAAATCAATAGCAATTTTCTCATAGCTATTATGGCGTAGATATGAGGAGAGGGAGCCTGGTTTTGACATTCTTCCATTCCCCTTCCTCCCTCCTTTTTTAATTGTATTAATTGAACTGGAAACTAGATGACCAAAGGTTAAATACTCAGAAGATGTGGGGCAGAAGAAAACATTTATTAAATTAGACTTAGTAGCAAACTAAGGTTTGTTTGCTTATAAGAATTAGGTAAAGGTGAAGTAGGTGATCTGATATTTTATGTGTTTATAATGTTAAATAAATTGCCATATTGCTTTGTTGTAGGAATTCTGTATTCTTACATGCAGGTCTTGTTATTTATATCTGCACTCAATAAGTGGTGTGAGAGAGACTTGTTTTCAAATACACAAAAGTAACAGATATGAAAACATGAAATTACATGTTTGAAATGCATGGTGAAAAATTTCCTTAAAAATTATCTATACTTGAAATAACAAGCCAAATTTACTTCTCCAACATAGAGAAACCATTATAATGTTAACTTGGCATTAAAAGGGCCACTTCAATTTGAAAGATGAAAGCATCTTTTTTGATGGCATTAGTTAAATAGTGCTTTGACAGTAATGAGTCTGGCTACAGAAATCTTTAGGAAAGATAACGAAGTGAAGTTTATACCTCAGATTTGCATAATGCGTGTTGTAGCCCTGTGTTTACCCGGGATGGAGCTCTATACAAATCAGTAGGTGGGGTCTGCCTACATCCATACCGAAGAGTTTGCAAATTGGAGACTGTGTTGTCTGAAGCAAATTATAGTTTGAAAGTGGCGAGTCATTTATTTTAAGCTTGGCTACTGATGTACTGCATTAATTGATGTTTTTAGTACGTAAAATGCCACTGACTTGTAGTGAAATACTTGATTTATAATTCCAAATGTAATTAGATTGAGAATAACTGAAAACCAAAACGGGGCTGTGTTTTTCCCCTGAATGGCTCTGGCTTCAATTTCTGCCTAACACTGCAGTGTGAAAATATGATACAGCTTATGACATGGATGTTACGATGTTCAGTATGCCTGTGTTATTGTTACAATGTGTAGCTCTTACAGTAAAATTACACAGAATTTTTTGAATGACTTACTAACATACAAAGTATTCTAATTTCTCAAATGACTACCTGCTACTAGAAAGAAAAAAAAAAATGTTTCACTAGTCTTAATAAGTTTTGGTTCAGTACAGTATATTTGAGTAATTGCACTTAAAAAATACGATCAGGAAAGGCTTCATTGGAGACTGATTTTAATGAATAGTCTACATTAAAACCTTTCCAGGAATCTGCTCTTTACCCTCTTTTCATGTTTAGTGGAAGCTGTTGATATTTCACGTACTGATCAGCTTTTATTTGTTGGTCAATAAAGCTAATCAGCTGTATTTTAAAAAGGCGTATGTACTAGTTGTGTCCTTATTGAATGCATAATCTGGCATGATGTGAAAATGGACAAGATCATGTCTAAAAATCAAGCCCAATAATAATAAAGCTTTTATAGCGTAAACTCACTAAATGTTGCTTACAGTTCTTAAGTTACAGGTATCTTAGGTTTTTAGCTGCATGCTTTTTAATGCTTGATTATTTTCTTTATTTTCATTTTTACAGCAAGCTCTGAATATGTATCTATTGAGGCAGCAGAACACCCCTGTAATCAGTGGCACTTCAGAATTTTATACAAAACACTACTCCACAACTTTAGCTTTTAAAAGTGTTTTTAAAATGCCAAATCTTTACTCGACAGTTATGCATCACATCTAAAGAACAAACTAAAACAACTAAAACATTGATCATTGTCTTTCTTGCAATGCACATAATTAAAGCAATGACTTTTTCCTTCTGAGTGTAAGAACTGGAAATTTTTTTTTGTGCCTGTTCACATGCTGATATACAGACTATCTTGCTTGGATCCTAGAGGTAAAAGCATTTTATGTTTAAATATTTTGATCACTAGACAGTAATTTTCATTTACTTTTTAAAAATTTTTACAAAGTCTAAGACTGGAGGACTTTTTAATAAACTTACTGAATGTTTTATGCCCTGCTGTGTATGCATACCTTTCAGGGCCTAGTAACGTCTTTCCCCATGAAGCGGGGAAGAGCTGATACTGTTTCCTTCAGAAATGCTAGATTTTCAGAAATGCTCACTGATGGTGTGGGATGTTTTCTTCTTCCTGTGTATTTTGTGAAGTCACAATACACTTTTGACAGCTTTTTTCTGTAGAGTGAGAGTTAATGCTTTTTTAGACAAATGACTTTATAATTCTGTATTGAATACAAATCTGTATATGCTCACTTTTAACTAACCTAATAGGTTGGCAATTCTTGCAGAGTTGTTGGTTTCCTGAACTCATTTTAGCAGCAACGTAAACTCCAGAGATCAGTAGAACTGGCTAATTAGAACATCTACAAACAGCGGTTTAAACCTTGAGCATTTAACCACTGATCTTAATAGTCATGAGAAATAAACAAAACTGGAACTTGAGCTAGTTTGCTAGCTCTTGGAGCACAAGAACACAAAAAACCCCTAACAGTTCTCTTTTAGTTCTGTGATCTGGTTATCTGGAAAACAGTAAGCTTAATGGATGCATAGATCAGGTAATTTGCATCAGACCAGCTTTTGATACATCAGTCCTTGGATAATAAGGCTTTCGCCACTTCCTTGGAGATCATTATACTCTATATCTGAATGTATTATAAAATACCATAGACACACTGATACGGGAACTCATTATAACTTCTTACTTTACTGTCATATTTGGGGTTTTGTGGTCTAGTGCCTGATTTTAAAGGATTAGAAATTTCATTTAGTAGGGAACATCAGGTTATCGGAGGTGCTATGTATAAGCATGAATGTTAGTGAAAAAATAAATGTGTGAGTAGCCTCATCAAAAAATGCAGCGTAAGAAGAAATGACTGTCAAATCACACTTTAATTTTTCATGCGATGGGGCAGAATTACGCATAACGATTTTGAAAAGAGGGAAAATAGCAACTTCATAACATTTTAAATAAATACTTGAAGGCTTTGAATTTCAGGACAATTTTCTGCTTGCTTATTTCTGTAATACATTGAAAATACACTAAACTGAACAACAGTTTTATCCAAGGTTTTGATTATTACCTTTTTTCCTTATTTTTTGTCTATCTACTCTGAAACAGCTAGTTGCGCATATATTATGATGAACAAGGCTGTGTTGTTATACCAGAACAAAGAAATGACATGTCTCTCTTTTACACTCCTAGTTACAGTTCTTGCCTTTGTATTTTAGGTTGGACTTGCCAGGTATCTTGCATAAGTGAATCTTAATCTCTGCCCTCTAATCGTATTTAATTATAATCTATACTTCATAATTGTACTCCTTTCTCTGGCTGCTGCTGTTTTCAAGGCTTGGTAGAGTTGCACGACGGTCTCTGATTTTTAACATCTGCACTTTGTCAGCTTCACTTAAGGATACTTGCATGCTTTCAGTTTGTGTTGAAGTTGGCAGGATCGTGTCTTTTTCTGTGCTCAGTGGATTAGGGCGTTTTGCAGGCATGTAGCTATACTAGTACGTTTATATCATAGCAAACCAACACAACCTGCATAGTCTTTCAGAGATGTCTCCAAGTATTTCTGACTTCCTACTCTTATCTTACTGATACAGACTTATCTCGATTTGTTTGCATTTTGTTCAGGTACATGCAAGACGTTTTTATACAGCAGTCATTAAAGGTAACACTTAATGAGGTTTACAGTAATGAGTGCTAATTGGTGTTCACTAAAATAAAGATCTTTTGGAAATACAGATTACTGAGAATTGTCAAAGAATATAACTTATCAGAAAACTCTTTGGGTTAAAAAGTTACAGTGGCCTATGGG